TTCAACACATCAAACGGCATTCAGACAAGCTCATGGGTCACTGTCCATTTGCGGTTCATCAACTTTCTATGTGCCAATGCTGGCAGCGTGCCGTTGCCGAAAGCAGGCGAACCGGTAGATGATGGTGTCCTTGGCCGACGAAATCGATGTGGTTCTCGACTTGCGGCGCGGGTGGTGTGAGTGTACTTACTCACGCTTATGATGGGCTTGTGTGGTATGGCTACAACCAACCATTGACAGAGTCTTGGGGCTTTGCCTCTTTGTACATCCAATTCGATGGACCATTGTTGACGGCTTGGATATGTTTCTAGGCGAGGTTAGAGAACGACAGGTAGGCGCGCAAATCCGGGGGCGTTCTTCACTCTTTGCATTCCTCAATGGGGTCTACACCTTGTGGAAGCGTTGCTTTGTGGAAGAGAGACACCGAAAGAAATGGGAACATGCGGAGAGAGAGAGGTGCAAAGCCACGCGGCGTGCGTCTGGGGTGGTTGTGGTCGCGCCACGACGCCACGACGCCGTCCCCGCTGCGAACCTACGGGCTGCGAACTGCTGGTGCCAGCGTGATCGTGGCTTCGTGGCTGCGTGGCTGCATGAGGTGCGCCCGGGAGGTGTGTTGGCTGGCTGGCTTAATTCTCTCGACTCGAGTCTGAGGGGTGGTATTGGGGTCGTTGGTTGGATCACGAGGGGGGTAGTCTAAACGAGATCAAGTTTTTTTTTGCCATTATGGTTACCTTATGTTTAGGTCCGGCTTACATGGGTGGTTGCAGAAGAAAAATGCATCCGAGTGTCAGCGTTCGAAACTTTCTGCGATTTGGATTTTCCCCCTAGGTAGGTTTTGACGGTCTTGGTTGCCTGTACGAGAATGGGAAGATCGAGATCTGGGTTCACGATTGTTGCGGTGAGCTGTCCGCGGTGAGCACGGCCGAGATATCGTACCCCGGTTGGGCGCAAAGACGAAGGCAACTCGCAAGACGGGAGGCCGGAATCGGCGCTACTGTAAATGGTGTCTTGGGACTAACCGTCGCTATTGTCAACTCCAAGTCTCCAACAGGATGGGAAACGGACAACGCTACCCTATAATCTGGAGACTTCAATGCAGGATGACGATTTGTCCAGCGTAGACGGGCATGGGACTAAGAGAAACGCTCAGACGGACGGACGGGGGGCGGGTATGCGGTTCGGACATGCCTTTTGCCCACTTGAGCATCTGTTGCCTTAGTTTAGCATGTTTAGTTCCTCCTCTCCCCCCTTGCCATGCCTTTTTTTTTCGGCCTTCGGCACCGGAGGATATTTTCCCTCATGTCGGGTTTTGTCTGCACTTGCTGGGAACTTGGGAGCTGGGAAAGTGGGAAGTGGACGATTCTCACAGGCATAGAATTGGGGGCCTGGAGACCCTAGGTTCTCCGGCTCCTTTGTGTGTCGTGAGGTTTCGGGAACTTGATATGTGGGTTTCAGGGCGTCTCTCGGATTCTGCGGAGGAAGAGACGCATCATGCGGATGCTCTGGATGGATCATGGAGATGTGGTGACGGGCGAGTGAGACCCAATTACAAGCGTATGATATCCGCTATTCCATGGGGAACTCTCGGCTACCGGGACTTGGGAAGCTTGGGGGGACTCGTCTGGAGCCCTCCGAGTCCCATCTTTTGCTCTTCATGCCCGTTGCCGTGATGTAGGCCAAGGTTTCCGGAGGCCTGGGAGACATGCTGCTCCGGAGCAACCAGCCGGCTCGGCTTCTCCTGGCGATTCTGCGACCTTTTTGCTTTACCCAGATGCCGCACGCACGCACGCACGCACGCCAGTGTGAACAGCCGAGACATTCGAGTGCCCAGCGACGAAAAGGAAGATGGAGCGCTTGGTCGTCAAACGTGGACTCACTTGAGCCCGCATGCGTAGTTCAGCCCATGCCTCCCAGCTCCAGGCCGCCGTTAGCAGTGGACGTTCAAGTAGGTAATCGAACGGAAGGGGGTGTTCTAAAAGCCTGAACTTCAAAGTTTCCGGACAGCAAACATGTGGCGTCGGCCGTCCGCTCTTGGGGATGAGATGGCAGGCCGGAGACTAAGGAAGTAAGCGCAAGCGCGGGGGCTACCGCTACGTTGTGACATTGACCGACCATCGCCTATTGGGGGCTATTTTCTTGCGATAAGGAAGATGAGATCAAGATTGATGATTTGCTCGAAGGCTTTGCATCGCTTCAAACTCTGGGAGGGTTAATTTCCCTGAACTGACGCCGGTCTCGGTGTAATTCTTTCTCGCTGATAAGTCCGTTGCATTGCGTCTCATCTCATGCGAACTACGGACACACTGATACAGTATCTATGTACTATCTAGGCTCGCTCACTCACTCACTCAATCAGTCAGTCAATCATATCCCTGGCTGCTAGCTCACCTGTCATATTTGCGATCATCAGCCACGATATCGAGGGTACAGATAACACGAAGCCACTTTTCTCTCTCTCATCCTTCGACGTGGATGGGTGTAGTTATCGTCTTATTTGACGTTTTCATGAGCCAATAGAGTAAAACATTGCTCTATTCGGACGAATCTTAAATTGGCCCAAAACTTTTTTCACTTGACTCTTGCCATCTCATCTCACGAAGTTTGTTTCCATTATTCATTTTCTCACAGTGATACATTTCCGCCTCATTTTCCGCGCGTCTAGCAACCCATTCGATAATCCGATGATTGGGTACAGCCCTTCTTCTTCTTCTCCCCAGGCAACGCAATGGGGCAGAGTATGAGCCGTCAAGGCCGTCCATCAACCCCTGAACCCTTCGTCTTCAATAGCGCGAGCGGGACCGCAAAAAAAGAGCGGGAAAAAAAGAAAGAAAAGAAGGATCCAGGAACGACATCATCGTCATCCTTACGGGGCCAGTCAGTGGTGGTGGGGTGAACAAGAATGATCCACGTTTTGCAGGTACGGAGTACGAATTGCTCTGTACCTCCTTACCCATGGGGGGTTTTCCTTCCCTTTTTCGTACTCTGCTGTTCTGCCCGGGACAATATCCCTGTTTGCGCTGCGTGTCGTGTGCCTCGTTGCTGCATGCCCCTGACGGGGAAGAACCCTCTTGTCGTTTCTTCTTCTGCTGCGACTCGGGCGTTTTTTTTTCCCCCTGATGTGATTTTTTGTCGTCACCCGGGAGAGACGAGGAGCAGTACCCAATTTTAAGAATTGCTCCACAAGCAACGCCGAGAGACACGGAGGATGGGTTTGTCTGAAGCGGCGGCGAACGGAAGGGAGTCACCACAGCAGCGAAAGCCAGCAGAAAAACCGCGCATGTTAAGGATTGAGGCCAGCGGAAGGATCGTAGAGTTTAGAGACACGGAGACTTTGTCACTTTTGATGATGAGAATACGTCAGCTTCAATATGCTCTCCGTGTCGGCTTTTACCTCCAGACCGCGAAGCTTTTTCTCATTGCCCACGAGGGGGAATGTCTTCAGGGAGTGGCCTTGTCGGAAGCTCACCTGTCAAACGTCTCTTAGCCCGAGCTTTTTCGTTTTGTTTAAACTTTTAAGGGGGAAAGGGGACCTGGGGGAATTCGGAAGAGTCCTAGCAAGCGAGATGCCGCAGTCCGGCTGGTGTTGATCTTGCCATTGCTTTGTTCCTCCCCGCAGACTTCATCTTTGTTCCTCATGTTTGATACTGTCCGTCAGCCGTCCATCTCGAACATTGGCTTCCTCCGGGGAACAAGCGCAAAAGTCCAGTGCCTACTAGGTAAGGACACTGCAGTAGACGGCGGCGGGCGGCGGGCACATCTTTCTCATCCAATCCCGCAACCTCCACATTGAAAAACAGGCCGCTTACATACTAGCCCATCGCTATTTGACCAGAGGAAAACCAAGGCCCCGCGGACCAGCAAAAGAAATAACGTGTGGGATAATTACACCGGGAAATACAGCTGTGGTTTGCAACGTACCTACTGTGAGTTGGGGTTTACTCATTACAAAAATACAAGAGTTTCTCGTATTTCCATATGGGGACAAATTCAAGCCCCCTACACCGGCATCCAGTGATACACTGCCGCACTAGACTCTAGAGTGTTCACAAACAGTTTCTGAATGCGGATTGGACGTGGCCTGGAACTGGGACTTGTTCAAACCGGACCAGCTGAAGACGATGAATGGATCCTCAACGCTGGGGACGGAGCTGCTTTGTTGGTCTACGCAGTATTAGCTTGACCAGCTGTCAATCATCAGTGCGTATCTCCAACCTCGAAGGGCTCGCTGTCAAAAGTGTGTCTAGCCGTCTGCCAACCACCCTGGTCGATTTATTTGCTTGATCCCAGATGTGCGCGCGTGCGTTTGATGAGATAGCCGTCCGTGTCTCTCTGCGGGTACCATCTTCTTTTTTTTGCAACCCCGGAAACTATCTCACTCTTACGGAGTACCTTACACGTGTACACCATATCACACCGCGTGGCCTGGGGTTGTTGTTTAAAAAAGAGAGAGCCAAGTCAGAGGCAGTTGGACCTTATCTTTTGGGGCCATGCATGGGGTCGAAGTTTGAACGGAGGGGCGTGTGCGCCCATCCTGTTCATCTTTCCCACTTGGGATCTCAGGTGAAGTGAAGAGCATGAGAAGCAGATGAAGGAGTGAGAGAAAGAGAGGTACAGAGAAACAGAGACGGGACGGGAGAGAGATAGAGGAACCATGATCTGCTAGACCTGGCTGACACTTCTCCGTCTCCTGGTGCCGCCATGTTCCTTGTTCCTTGAATTGGGTGGTTCCAGACCTAGGAAACATCCTGTTCGCTGCCCAGTACTCCGTAGTCCATCCACCCTTGAACCTGCCCGGCGAGCGCGCGCGTGCGCTATCTTTTGCCTTGCTGTATCCGTCCCCGTTCAGAGTTCCCCATCCCCATCCCCAGTCCACCACAGTGGGTGTGAGTGAGTGAGTGACTGAGCAGGTGAATATGCCCAGTGAGTGAGAAGTGTGGTGTCCATCTCATCCACACCCGCTCTTTGTGGGAATACACAGCAGTGTTTCCATTATCCATAGCATGGCCCAATATCTACACACCCTTTCCCACCCTCCCCGAATCCGTCCCATCCCATCCGTCCCCCATCGTCGTCACTCGTCCTCGGACATTGCATTGCAGCTCACTCGCAACTTACTCATCTTTCTCTCACTCTGCTCTCACTCATCCTCGCTCTCTTACATACTCTCACACTCTAATCACCTTTCTCTCTCTTGCAAAGGAGGCGCAGGTTGTAGCAGGACGATATCTTGGCTTCCTATACCCCGTCTGTGCCTTGAGTCTCTCGCAATCCTTTTTCTTCGCAGTCCTCTTGTTTCTGTTTATTCGTCTCTTATTCGGCTTATACCCCCTCGGCGCAGCCACCGGTACCTTACCTTTCAACCCACCATCCATCGGCACAGCACATCAGCACTGCGACGAAAGAAACACTCGGGTTTGGAAACTTGCGGCCCTTGCACCGGCGCATTCCCGACGAACCGCCTTCTTTGGTACCGGATGCTACGACGAAGCAGCGCTCGACACTTGCAGCAGATCCTCCATGTTTCGCGCGCTACGTCACTGTCACCAGGTTCGCAGATTGAAACAAGGAGAAGAAAGGCAATAGCAGAAGCAGCAGCAACAACAACAACATCAACGACAGCGGTAATTCCACCACTGCACAACGGAACACAAGAGTTAAATTGTTGCATCACCAAATACCACCAATAACAGGGCCATATCGCAGACCACACACACAGAGCAGCGAGCAAACGCCAAGAGTGAACGAGAACCCAAGCACCACGACTTCGTCCCATCGTCGGCGCATCCAAGTGAATCCTCGATCACCGTTGAGCAACAGTTCAACAACCACTTCTTACTCCAGACGACAGTGTTGGACAAAGGTGCACCGCCAACGCAGGGACCGCGACTCGGAAACGCCATCCCATCATCGCCGCCCGCCAAACGAACGCACCCCAGACTCGACGGAACCGAGAAACTCGCAAACCAAGCAAACATTGACGACGTTTTACCGTGCTTATATTCTTTTTGCTGCGCCCAAAACTTGTTTTGAGTCTCCATCACAGCAATGGCGCACGCAGCCTACGCCTCGGTGCGCAGGTCCTCGACGTCGTCCATGGGCTCAGACTTTAGCGACGCAGATGCAGCAGCAGGCGGTATGGGAATAGGAACGAGAACGAAAACAAGAGCACAAGACCGAGACTACACAAAAGACCTGGCCTCGTCGTCTTCGCAGCCGTCCGTATCCGCCACGGCAACGCCCAGTCCCGCCAACTTTCTGTCTCTTGCCGACAAGAGCTTCACGCCTCTGTCCATGGACAGCGACCTATTTCCCGATCGCGATTTCGACTTGAGCTTTGGCGGTAGCAGCAGTAGCGCGGCAGGAGAACGCAAGACGACGAGCAGCCCAAGATTCCGCGACCAGCAGAGGTCGACGTCACCACCGCCAGCGACAGCGATGGCAGCGCATACACAGGAGACTAGGACGAGGTCGAGGTCGAGAGAAGCATATTCAGGATTAAGCTTACAAGAAGAGACACTACTATCCCATGCGGCGACCGGAACGACTTTGGCAACGACAGGAATGGTGGCAGCGGCAGACGCAGACGAAGAGAGAAATGTCTCGGGCGCACGCGACACGACGGAAATAGAGTCTCGGCCGCGGCGGTCAGGGTCGCACTCGAGAAAAAGTCAAAAGGAGGACGGTGACGGTCACAGCACAGAGGCAGAGTCAAGGAATGTTGGAGACCGAAACGAAGAGTGCGAAAAGTACGAAGATGACGAGGTGCCGCCATTCGCAATTTCGTCTAGGAGCCCGCGCCAGCGCCGTGCCGGGTCGACGCCGCTATCGCTAGATCCGCTGCAGGTGAACAGGGGGAGGGGACGGGGCAGGGCGCACGAAGACGCAGAGATGGAAATGGAGCTGGAGGACAGGTGCACTACCGCTGCCGCTGCCGCCGCTGCTGCGTCTACCACTGCTACGGGTACCACTACAGCGACCATTACAGGGACCGCCGCCAATACCAGCGATCCAAAGGGGAACAGCGATAACGATACGGGCACCGATAAGAAAACCTTACCTAAGGTCGGCGGCGATAAGAATACGGGATCCGATAAGGACACGGCTGCCGGTAGCGTCAGGGATGGCGCCAGCACGTCCCTCCAGCTACAGGGCCCCCAGCCAGCGCCCGCGGCAGCGCCAACAGCAGCCATCCAGGAGAAGCAGCCGATGCCCACGGGCAGAGTCATGGCCTCTGCGCCTGCGTCTGCCCCCTTGGCCCTTCGTACGAAAAATATCAATACCACCACCGCAGACAACCTGAATACGAGCGACCAAAATACGAGATCCTTTGCTGCTGCAACTGGTACCATCACGAGCCCGGCAACCTCGACTTCTACCACCACCTCCAATTCTTTCGCCGCCTGTTCACCCTCCTCGACTGTTCTCTCTGCCCCTGCTGCTCTCGCTCGTCACATCTCCACCTCGTCCCTTCGATCCAACAGCAGCCTCATCTCTCAGATCCAGGACAGTTTGCAGCAACAGCAACATCACCACGCCTCTTCGGCATCCACGCTCGTTCGTCCCGTCGCCCAACCAATCGTTCGTACAACATCCGACTCGGGCACCTTTACACTCAAACACCCCGTTCCCGACCTCAACTGCCGCTCCGGCGCCTACACCACAAACGTCGCTGCTCTCGAGAAGTCGGCCGAACGCCTGTCTATGACCAGCTCCATCGAGGACGCCATCCGCGACTTGCATGGAGAGTTGAAGCGTTCCGATTCCCGTCGTTCCTCCATACTTGCCGCCAATCTCGCCGCATCAAACTCTCCCATCGACGAATCTTCGGCCCAACCCGGTCCCCTTCGCGTTCTCCCTCCCGTCGCCTCCATCGTCGAACTTAACAACAACGCCCGCCTCGGCGGCTACTCTCCCAGCGGCTACGTCATGTCTCCTAATCACTCTTTGACCGGCCGCCTGCGTTCCGGCTCCAACAACTCCCGCGGCCGCCCCGAAATCGATGTCGATGCTATCATGTCGCGACACGGTTCTGGAAAGGGGTCTACCAGGAGTGCCCGCTCCGGAAAGCCTTCCCTTGCTGAAATTGCCGAGTCGGAACCCGTTGCCCTGACTGGACGTGTTCTCGACGAGGCCGACCACGCCCCAATCCCTGTGACAGCCGACGACGACGCGACCATTCGCCGTCCCAATACCAACGAAGAGAACCGCGGCAGTGTCTTCAACTTGCTTGGCGAGATGGACCAGCAGTCTGGAGGCCTGGGCTTGGACTTTGGCGGAGACAGCGGCAGGCGAGACTCTGACGATAGGCCGCCCACGCCGAGATCAACCTCGACATTTGACCACACCAATGCCTTTGGGGACTTTGACGGCGTGCATTGCCAGCCGGAAGACCTCGAGCGGAGCGAGTACGACTCGCGTGAGCAGAGCGAGTACGGCGACGCGCCCATGCCCGCTCCGCACACCATGCCCATGCCAGACATCCCAGAGCCTCAATACGAAGCACCTCCGCCGCGTATGCCACGAAACAACAGGGATACCATGCGGCCACAATCCTACTTTGACGAGCTCACCGGCCAAGAAATGCTCTACTACCCCGCTCGAGTGCCCGCTATGCTCAACTTGCCGCCCAAGCTGTCCAGGAAGCCCAAGACTGAGGTCCGGAACGCGAGGCACTCCAAGGTGCTTCAGGCCATGGGCCATCCTGGTTTCGGCCAGGCGAAGTATCTACCTCAGGACCCCGAAGCGTCCCAGGTCCGCGAGTCCAAGATGTGGTTGCCCGATCCGCTTGCCGGCCACGGTATGTCATCTTTTGGAGACGACATCGGGGGACAGCACTCGGGTGACGCATCGCTCAAAGAACCTGCCGCGGTCGATTCCCATGTGCCATCCGAGCAGGGCGACCCGTTGCTATCAAGTGACGGTGCTGCTGCTGTTGGCGATGCTGAAGGACCAGAACACATGCCAGAGGATCCCCCGCCAACGCAACGCCGCAAGTCCAAAATGCCAAGGGCTTCCAACCTGCCGCCACAACTCCGAGCGAGCGCCTTTTTCGATTTGCCGTCCACAACACCGCAGATCGAGGTCAAGGGAGGCTCCGCGATGGCGACGCTCGACAGCATTCTTGATGCCTCTGCCAATGCCCCTGTCAGTGCCTTCACCGACCACGCTTTCGCAGGAAAGTTGGGTAATGAGACGTACGGCCCCGATAAGAAGAAGAACCGCAAGTCTACCGCCACCGTCTTGCTTCCCGAAGAGCATGTGCGGGCCGCCTCGCAGAAGAAGAAGGGCGGACTCATGCCATTCAGCAAGAAATCCGACAATGGATCCAGGAAGAATTCCATGGCCGGCAGCAGAGAAGAGAACCAAGCTCTTTCTGATCACGTCGACGGCGAGGATAGGGAAAAGGCTGAGGGAGAGGGTTCAGATGAGGAAGACGAAGAAGAGGAAGTCGATGAGTTTGCAGGAGTTCTCGATGGGCCCCCCACCACTCTCCTCGCTGAGCTGCAGTTGCGCAAGTACCACGCGAAAATGCGCACTCAGAACCCGAACCGTAACGTTGGGCAGAACGGCATGCATGCTACCCTCATCGAGCTGGACGCGGTTGCCGAGACGCAGAAGAGGCACCGTGAGAAGAAGAAGATTGCCCTTGCTTGGGAAGTCGATGGTGCCAAGGAGGAGGACCATAGTTCCGACGAAGACGAGGTTCCGCTTGGCGTTTTGTACGCCGGCAACCCGCACGTGGCTGAGAAGAATCGACCTATGGGTCTGATGGAGCGTCGTGACCTGGAAGAGAACGAGCCTCTCAGTGCCCGTCGCGCCCGTCTCCACGGCCAAGAGCCCCCGAGGATATTGGCTAAGCAGAGGAGCAACTTTACTCTCAACGCCGGTCTGAGCCAGATGCGCCTCAACCAGATGCCTTCCGCCGAGCACTTAAGGCCCGAGGAGGAGTCGGAGGACGAAGCTACTGCTGGAGAGACTCTCGGTGAGCGTATGCGACGCCTCAGAGCCAAGGACGAAGCCGAACACAACAACCTACCCAACGCCCGCCCCGTCAGTCGCGCATTCTCTGCGGAGATCCTAGCCCAGTTTGGCGATAACGATGATAAGAAACCTGGAGACAAGGGCAAGGAGAAGGAGGCCCAGCCAGAGGGAGAGGAGACACTTGGCCAACGTAGGAAGAGACTGCAGGCCGAGCGCGAGGCGCGTGAGCAGGAAATGATGCTCAGCGGTGGGCCTGTCCAGGCTGAGGCCGAGGCGCCTACGCTTCGCAAGAAGCACAGTCTCGCTGACGTCCTCAACTCCCACCCGATTGCCTACAACCCAGCTCTGGACGAGCAGCGCCGCCTCGAGCAGGAGAGGCGCAAGGTTCGGGAACAAGAGGCCAAGATGGCTGCGGTCCGCGCCCAGATGCCGCAGACCCTGACCGGACCGAACAATCAGCGGAGTGGCGGCTACAAGAACGGCGCTTTCAACGACGCCAACGGAGGTACCGGCGGTGGGCTAGGTGCTCGAGGTCTCCTTGCGCAGCCTGGACTCCCGCCTGTCAATGCCACCTTGGGCGTCAATATGGGACCTGGCGGATGGAATCGCTCCAGCATGGCCTTGAGCAACTACGGAGGGCCATTCCAGCAGCCCATGCAGCAGCAGCATCAAGTGTACGGAAATCCAGGTATGGCTCAGATGAGCCAGCCGAATCTGGGCGGATACGGAGGCTACACTGCTGGTGGTATGGGAGGCATGAACAACATGGGGGCCATGAACGGCATGAACCCCTACGGCGGAGGCATGGGTGTGCCGATGCAGATGCAGCCCATGGGTATGCAGCAAGGTATGGCGCCGATGCCGATGCAGCAGATGCAGATGCCTATGCAGCCCGGCCACAATGGGCAGATGCAGTCCATCGAGCGCTGGAGGCAGAGTGTCATGTACTAGACGAAGGCCAGCCCGGATCTACAATACCTCGACCGACCAACTACCTACCTACACACTAATCTCTGGGCGGACGCACAGTCTGCAGGAGCTGTATATAAACAATCACACACAACTATGGCATTGCGAGGGGAGTTGGATTGATTTTTCTTTTGTTTGAATAACCTTTAGGTGGTTTTGCGAAGCACAGAGCGATGCGAAGCATTAGGATACAATAGGGGGGTTTTGGGGGATATGGGTTTCCTCGGGTTTACCTATACCAGGTACGAGGGGATTATCACATTACATACAACGTATACATACCAATTCTAATAACCACAACTGTGAACTTCGTCTGCTTTTCATGTGGTCCAGCATTGTTGAGAAAGTGAGTAGATAGCCTGAAGATAAAGGTCGTAGGATGGATGACTTCACGAGGTAGGTGCTTCCTGTCGAGTCTCTCGAGGGAATTCCGGTCCAAGTATGGAGGTATGAAGGCGTGTCACTAGCAGATCTCTTTGCTAATCTGCTCTGATGTGTTTGTGAACTCGCTGTGAAATGGTAGGTGTCTGTGTTCCTTCGGGAAACAAGGCTTCATTAGGACTAAGGATAAAAGGCCTTTGAGCTAGGTTCAGTTGACTATATGTCTGCATAGGCTCGATGCCACTGCCGGTCAGGTCTGCTACCCACTACTGCCACCCTCATCATCACTGTCATCAAGGTGGTTTATAACGCAGAGATCAAATTGTTCGTCTCGAGCCTAAGTGCTCTCATCGTTAAGTGTGACCCCTCGCGCTTGGTGGGGCCGGTGGCCGGAGCCCGTTGTCCATCTCCCGGCCGGACCCACAACGTCACACCTCATACAAGATCGGCTTCAGTCGTCTGTATGCCTGATATGAGGTCTGACCTCCCAAGAACCTCAGTCGTCATGCAAATAGGAATCCCATTCCCAAGAAGCTGTTATCCGGTCATAAGATTTAGGCCTGAATCTCCCAGCTTTCGATCGGAACAGTCGACACCAAACCAGGGAAATCGAAGCCGATAGTTCCCATGACCCTCAATCCTGCGCGACAAAAGCCACCAGCACCGCCGCGCAGGCCGCCGTCGCCAGGATGATATCCGTCCTCCGCCCGTCCGTCATGACGGCTAAGCTGGCCGCGAAGACGCTGGTGAAGACGGCGATCATGCAGAGGCGTAGGACCTCGTTGTGGACGAGGTAGAGGGTGACGATGGCGGCTTGGATGACGAGGGAAGCGGCGAGGACGGTGATTATTGTGACGAGGCGGGTGACGTGGCGGGCGGAGTAGTATTTTACTTCTGTGGTTTCCTTGTGTCGTTTTCCCTGGTTCAGACTATCAAGAGCTATTCAACGAGGCTGTGATAGAGAAGGACTGACGTACCGCTAGGTATTTCCCTGCGAGATCTTCGAGATTACGGGTGAGAATATCTGCGCCTGATGATGGGGCGAGGGCGATGAAGTCGTCTCGCTTGCTTGGTAGATCGTGGCCGTGGCCGAGGAAGGGTTGTTCGGAGTCGAACCAGCCTTGGAAGACGCGGAAGACTCGATCGTTGGGGGTAGTAAACTTCATGATTTGGCTTCGCAGAACCAAAGCTTCATCTATATCCCGTCACAAAGATTGCTCTTGTGGTCAATCCTCGAGGCACGTACGGTATTCTTTCATGGTTCCCTGTAGTCGATTTACAAGATCCATCTTCTTGGCCTCTCTTGAACCCTTTTCTCGAGCTCTTAACGCAAACACTTCCCAGCACTTGGTAGCGAGACGGCTAGCATCGTTGACGTTTGTGGCGTCATCCTCGTCAGATTTCTGTAGTTCAGCCTCGATCTCAAGCATTCTCAACTGAAGGTGAAGGAGGTTCCGGGCACTTAGAGCCTGGAAGCTCCTGAATACTGACAGCTCAGGATCAGAAGCAATGAATTCCGCGAAAGCTCCGTGGCTTGATGAACCGGGCGATACGGCTGCCATTTGGTGCAGTCGAACTGCTCGCCGCAGCCACTCTCTGAGAGGGTCTGGGAAGATAATGTATCGGGAGTGGGCAATCGGTCTCAAGGGCAAGGCGCGTATCTTGGTCAGATCTTTCCTGGCGAGGATTGTTTCATCATGTGCACGCCAAGATCTACTTGCATCGATGGGCGTATGGAAGTGAAATACTGAATTGGGGGACCAAGGCACCCCAGCTGCCTGCCATGGGTGAAAGGAGCTCTTGGTTGGATGCCTGGTATCAATGTGCAAGTATGCCTTGGAGACGAATTGACCAATCACCCCCCCTGCGAGGAGGGCTTGTCAGGGGCGCAGCTCAACTCGAATAGCCATCGTCAGGAATATCAAAGCCTGATCTCTCCTTGCCTCTAGCAGCGAGCTTGCCGGCTTCTCTCCTGCCTTATACGTAGCAGGCGTTGCCTAGATTGACGGTTCTCACATAGGTCAAAAGCTTTCAATATGGTTCGCTTCTCAGAATCCTTTAAGCTCTTTGAGACTCTGGGCATTCCAGAAACTGCCACGCAAATCGAGGTTAAAGCGGCTTATAGACGGAAACTGCAGGTATACTTTTCCTATGAGAATTCAGCATGTCGCAAAAAAGACGCCATTAAATACTGGAAGGAATCAGAGCGATATTCACCCTACAACCTCCTAGAAGAACCAGGATTTTCCAAGATGCGACATGCATACAATATCCTTTCAGACCCAAAATGGCGATGCCAGTATGCCGATTTCGTCGCGTCTGGAGACCGTCTATGTAAGGACGCACCACAGCTGTCTCGTCACTTTGCCCCAAATACAGCTGACGCGGATAACATTGCCTTTTTTCAGCAGACAGATTTTCGATGCCAAATCCTGCATCAGGCGGCATGCTTATGGCTCAAGGAGAAATAGACGGCCAAACGGTCAATGCAATTCCCGATACTGGCGCTGGCTGCAACTTGATGTCTTCTTCGCTTGCCAAACGACTCGGTCTCGAGCCACCACCCGGCCTGCCAGAGGCTCAAGACACAGGTCTTCGAATGGCCAACGGCAAGACCATCATGAGTGCCGGTACCATCAATGCTGTATGGAAATTCGCATACGATCCTGATAAATCCTGGAACATCGCGTTCCAGGTCATCAATGATCTCGCTCATGATGTTATCCTAGGAAGCGAATTTCTCACAACTTCGGGGACAATGAACCAGTACCGCGCCCGTTTGAGCAGAGCCCCTCGACCTCCTTGGGCAAAATCTTTTCTGTTCACAAGCAGTGTTGGATCTGTTAGCCAGCGGCTTCAAGGTAGAATCGGCGATGTTGCGGTCCTGGCACTTGCCGACTCGGGTTCCGAGTCGAACCTCGTCTCGTCCAGCTTTGCACGCCGCCATACGAATTGGCATGATACCATTGATTGGAACGATCAACGTCTTTTGCGATTTCCTGACGGGAACGTGGAAAAGACAATGGGTTCTGCATGGGCACATTGGGCCTGCATGGGCCAGTCGGGCTCTCCCCTAAGCCGTGATGATGCGGCCTTCCGTTTCCACATTCTTGACAGTTGTATCCATGATGTCATCTTGGGTCAGGATGCGCTCGAAGAGATCAAAGCCTTCACTGACCAAATTGCCTCGTTTGTGGAATCTAATCAAGGCCCAGAGCCGGCGGATCTCAACTTGGTCATATGGGTGCCTGCCAAGGACCCGAAGACGGACCAAGCCACGAATGCTGGCGCCAACCCTCAGCAGAACCAGCAGACCTCGAACGAGCATTCGGAGATTCCGCCCCAAAGTCAGACTTCGGAAAGTCTTCCAGACCCGGGAGTTTCGAATACCTCTATACCCCCGGCTGAAAAAGAGACGGAATACTCATGGTGGTATAGAAGATTGGCGGAGCGTAAGCGGCAGTTTGCCGCTCGGCGACACATTCTACAAATGTCGCCGGGCCCCGAAAGAGATGCTGCTACTGCAAAGGAACAAGAGATGCGCCAAGTCTTTAAGGCCAGAGAGAAAACAAAACTGCCCAAGCAGGCGCCTCAGCAACCCAGGAGATTTGATAATTACTCGGCGCTAGAAATGGAAGACGAGGCTTCGAACAATCACGAAGAGCGCAGGCTGCGGTTCTTCTCTCGCTGACTGGACTCTCGTTGCGGGCCAAGATAGGAAAGACTTTGGGTTGTGACTTTCATTGACTTGGTAAGCTGGTCGCTTCTTGGGAGAGGTAAAGAGCTTGTTACGATGGAGATGGAATAGAGGCGTCGGCTTTGGGGGTTGGGAAGACGGTTGGATCGGCGGCCCTGTAGTTAGAATATCAATATCAGCCCTACGGAGGAAGACTGGATTATGATGCGCCCGTGCATGAAACATGCCATGGATGTTTCTGGCGCTGGACAAGTGTCCCGATCTTTTTTTGGAGGCAGCCCGAGTTCAGGGGGAGAATGCGCATGTGCAGTACAGTCATCATTTCTGTTAGTACTGTGATGTCTGTTGGTAGATGGCCGTTTAAAACCGTGCTAATGCAGTCAGCAAACGGTACAGAATCCTTGAGCTGTACGGGGGACCTCTCCATCTTTTTTTATCGGAACGCGTATCGCAACGGTTAGCTCGCGTGCTGCCGGACCGACGTCGTCAGCCCCCAAAACCAAACATTTACAGATTATCTGCCCTCCTCCCGCTGCCTCCGACATAAGCGGTAGTCAATTCTTCGTTTTCATCGCCACAGATCGCCATACCTCGGGAATGGAAGCGTCGCCGCTGACCCGTCAGGCCCCGCCCGAGGTCTTCAAGCCCAAGATCGTACAGCTGTACGAGTCGTTGTTCAAGGTTCGACAGCTCCGCTTCTCCCTGCCTTTGTGACCCCTCGACCATGTCTCTGTGTGTCCAAGGTACTCTTTCGCCGATTTCGTGTAGGACTTGTTGCTAACCTTCTCTCTCTAGGTGTGTGTTCTCTTCGATCCTTATACCCACGAACCCCGAGCTTCCCCCATTGCGCCTGACCGAGCATTCCCCCTTGACGATCTTCAACTTCCGGACCGCATGGCCGTATCTTCCTAGACATTACTGCTACGCAAAGAAGCACGATCCTGTACATTGGCAACCCGCTGATACGATCTCCATGATTGAGTAGGACGCCGAAGATGACGCAGAACGTTCCGAGGGCTTCTGGCGCGAGTTCTTCCTCTTGCGGCCCGACCGCCCCGCCCTGAAGCGCATTCTCGATGGCCTCGGGCCGGCAGACATGCTTGCGTTGGAGGAGCATACAAGGGAGCTTTTCGCGCGCGCTGTCACTGCTATGAAGAGTGGACAGGGTGTCGCAGATCTGCATGCGCTTGACGTGAGTAGGGCACAAGCTCGTCCCTTGGCTTTCGCGCTGAGGCGAGGTTTGGAAGTTGCTGACTTGGACTGGGGAGGATGGTAGACTCTAAGCGTGTTCCTCTGCTCGGCTCTTTCGAAAAAGTATGCGCACCCTAGCTCGGATATTATTATCGTCTTGGCTGGGATCGATTATGTCGATACGATCTTTACGGACTTTGTGGGCGCTGTGGACCAGATCATTAGGAGTGGGAAGAGCTGTGAGTTTGGCATACGGGAAAGCCACTACGGTCAAGTACGAGACGGACTAACGCGTTGCAGTGGAATTGCGACAAAAGGCTGTCGAGGTTGTCCTGGCTGTGACGGCGGGCGCATACCAGACAAGTCTCTTGACATACTTCATCCAGAGGGACCTCTTCCCCTCAGTAATGAAGGTTGGATCATTCTACGCTTGCAACTTGTGTGAGCCTCAACTAACGATCCCGCAGTTTATACAAGACACCGACACAACGGAGCGCATCCTCAGCCCCTTTTCCCTCCTCGGCCTCTTGGCGAACTACAACAAATTTGAGTTCCAGAACCCCTACCAGATGCGACTAAACGACTTTGTCAACGAAGCGACAATCAAGAAGATCATTCGGTGTATCGGCCAGACGTGCGAGAGCTTGACTACACAATTCGTGGATGTGCAGGACGACTTACCCGAGGGGTGGACGTTCAACGGCACGCTGCGTATGATTGGCCTCGGCGCGGTTGCGAGGGGCCCCAAGCCGGAAAAGAAGCCCGTCTACGATGCCGAGACCATGAAGCAGATGTTTACGAAGCTGTGAGTATCCTCTGGCTGACCTTGGAGTGAAGAAATGTGGCAACTGACAAGAAGCAGACCCGGCGAGGAAGCAGCCGTGTTGCTAGCAACCTATGACTTTACACACGCCAACAAGCTGTTCTGCTTCAACCTCGCCACCCTGCCTGCCGAAAAGGGCGAAGAACAGCCATTGGCGGCCTTCACATCACTCACCTCCTACCTACTCCAGCACGCCCATCTCTCCGAACGCACGACACACTACTCGCATCTCAACCTCATGGTCTTCCGCCTACTAATCGAGGATCCCGTACTATGCAAGCGGATATGCAGCGAAGAGTCCAAGGGACAAGTCCGTCTGTGTCGCCAGAGGCAACCGTTCCTCCCGCTGGTCAGAGGGGACCGGATTCTGGCGACGGCCGTGCTGGATACCATGGTCGACGGCATAACACACAACCTGCGGAGGAGGCTGGACGTCGGACTCTACACACTCTGCGTCGGAATCCTGTTGCGGGTGATTTCCTTTCTCTCGAGGTCACGGACACGACTGACATATCACTGGGCGGATCTCTTCCGCGCGTTGCTAAACCTCATTCGGTTCCTCACGCAATACGTCGCGGACCTGAAAGACCTCTCGCAAATCGACCTCCTGTTAGACAACGTCGTCAACCTCGTGGCGCTCTCGCTGTCAGCGGGCGAGGGATTCCTGCCATCGCCGGCGGCGTATGACGATCTATTCTACAAGGTCGTCGAGGCTGGCGACACGCTGACCAAGTTTAAGGAGAGCTATCAGCTCGGAAAGCGGCCGAGCAACTCGATTGACACGCTCATTAGCGTGAGCACGCACTACAAGGAGCTGCTGGCGGAGGGCGGCAAGAAGAAGGGGAACCTGACAAGCATGCAGGTGACGGAGGTGATTAAGCAAGGGTACGAGACGCTGAGTATACAGGCGAAAGAGGGGCTTGATACGTGGGATCGGTATCGGGAGGCGGATGAGAGGACGTTGTTGAAGAAGATGGCGAGGGCGGCTGTGGCCGATGTGAGAGGGTTGGTGGAGCGGTGAGAATTGGTGAGCTGTGAGCTGTGAGGCAAGGTGGATTGGGTGATAGACTGTATGATATTAATGACACCCGAGATGATTCTCATGAAGCGTTGTGTTGGAGTCTGATTGATCGATATTTGGCATGCTCAGTTGAGGCTCGTTGACTGCGGCTCCAGACTTGAGAGCTGATGTCAACCTCGAGCTCTTGACCTTCAAGGTTGTCATTCGACACATAAAGTGTGGTTCCACAGGCTGCTGGGGATTGGATGGAAAGCTCTTCCTTGTCAGTCCGGGCAAACCTAATCTCGAACCACATCGATTCCCCGAGAGTCCAGGAAACTCGGCAACGTAGTGTAACACTGGACAAACAAAGTACCTGACTAAGGTAGTTTGGATAAGTTAAGAATGAATAAGGCCTTTGAGGCCCTCAAGGTATGAGTTGGTCATGAGAAACAAAGCAAAAGCCAAGGCCCAAAAGGCACTGAAGGAAAAGAGGCTGCTTTGTCATCTGTCCCGGCCGTTGACAAATTACAGGCTTCTGATTGGCTGAAGTGCACCCGGTATACTGGAGACCGCTCACCATGTCATAGCCGCGCCACGGCGAGAACCTGTCAAATGACCCCCCCTTGGCCCCAGCTTCTGTTGCTTTGCTCCGAGAGCCAGCCACATTCCCATTGCCAATCCATCCCGACCGCAAAAACCTCCGACCTACAATTCCCGCCTGTTTCTTTCGTCACCGTCGAATGATTTCCAACCCTCTCAACCTCAACACCTGATCCTTCGACGACAAACACCACAGAACAAAACGGGAAAGCAATCTCACCTTGGTGTCATTCCCTCTAGCAAACTCGACTTCGTCACAAAGACACACACAACCTCTAGCACAAAGATGAATGCACCGAGGATACTCAGCAGAGTGGCGTTCCGCCGCTCCTGCGCGGCATTGCAGTGCGCCTCTGCTCGTCGCGCCTACGGCAGCCCGTCTTTCCAGTCATATCCTCTCTACTCAAACAACACACTCCCTCCGGCGAGAGGCGACGGCATCCCCGAGAGCTCCATCGCATCGCCGGATGCTCTGCCGAAGGTCAACGAGACGAGACCTCCCAAGATCCCCTCGCAAATGGCGACAGCCCACCAACAATCCTCGACACCGAGCACTCTTTCCTCTTCCTCCACCACACAGTCCTCGACGACAAAGACAACAACAGCAGCGACCTCATCCGCAACAGCCAAGGCCACGACGACGTCATCAGCAGCAACCGCCGCCGCCGCGGCTCCCGCGCCAAAGATTTCCGAACAAGCAGCTCAAACCCCCAAGCCGGCCGCCCGTCCGAAGCGCACGCTCCGCGCCCGCAAGGCGGCGATGAAGCTCAGCCCCGCGGCGGTAGAGCAGCTGCGCGCGATGCTGGACCAGCCGGAGCCGAAGCTTATCAAGGTCGGCGTGCGGAACAGGGGGTGTTCGGGCCTGGCGTACCACCTCGAGTACGTCGAGAAGCCGGGGAGCTTTGACGAGGAGGTGGTGCAGGATGGCGTCAAGGTGCTGATTGACAGCAAGGCGCTGTTCAGCATTATTGGCAGCGAGATGGATTGGGTTGAGGATAAGCTGAGCCAGCGGTTTGTGTTCAAGAACCCGAATATCAGTGAGTCTACGTCGCTTCTTACCGTTTTGGGAAAATGGTTTGCTAACTACTTGAACAGAGGAGCAGTGTGGCTGCGGAGAGTCATTCATGGTTTGATTCATGGTTTGAGGAGAGTTTGTAATACAGCAAAGACTGAATGAGTCGCCAGCGAGAGAAGAGACAGCATGAGCATGCGCTGCTTTCGTAAGCGGGTCAATGGCTTCGATATACACTTCATACATGGCCGTCGCCTCCATCATAGAGAAGGGGAGATTGCTGACGGCACCGGCACCGGCATCAAGTCATGCTACGGCGTCTTTGTACATCACGGCTCCGTTCCGAGCACTTTCGACATTTCGGGTTGAGGATAAAGGCATTGGGAGGCGTTTTATACAGGTGTAATGATACCTACGAGAAGACCTGGCTCATCGTCCGGGCGCGAATCACTGAGATTATTAGTTTCACTTTCAATTGAACCTGAAGAGTGAATCAACTACTTTGTTGTCTTGAATGAGATCATACGTACTGTGTATCCGTATGCCGAGCATGGCGGGCGGGCGGAAACCACAGTGTATCTCCGACCGAATCCGAGTGCCGGGCGCCCCCACTGTCGAGAGAGAGAGCGCGGCTTCTTACCCGACGGCTGCCCTGTGAATCGACACCCCCGGCAGTGGCAGTCGCCTCCAGACGGCAGTGGAGTGAAGGGACCTCCAGGCTCCTGGAGGTACCTGAACTGCGGAGCGAGGCGTCCCGAGCCCCACTAGAATTTCGAGCTCAATTGCCAGGCGCGTCATTGCACCCAAAAATTCCCCCAAAGGCGCGTCTCCTCCAGTCACAGCTCAACCTCCAAATTCACACGAATTCGCGATAGTTGCTCCAACATCGTCGACTGCACACGAATTGACGAATCCGGACGCCAACACACTCCAACAATATCCAAGCTTGAGCCAAAGACTACCCATTGCATGCGTCACAGCACTGTGTCTTCCATTCAAAATGGCAGCAGTCGACTGCCCCATCTGCAACAAACCCGTCAAGGAGACGCTGATCAACTCTCACATCGACTCTGGCTGCCAAAACCACATCTTCAACCCCGAACGAACCTCCTCCCCGCCGACAGCGACACAGTCTAATGGCACTCCCGGCTCTACACTCACCTCATCACAAGCCAAACGGCCCGCCTCCTCCTTCTTCTCGACCCCCGCACCGAAGCGCCATGCCCCTCCCGCCAAAGTCCTCACGACTCCGTCCAATGGCACGACAACGACAGCGGCAGCGACGACTACCCGGCCCATGGCAGGAATGAAACGAAGATTCGACGACGGGCCAGGCGAATTGCCCTCTCCCATGGCGACGACCACCGACACAGACAGCGAAGCAGCCCAACAAACACAACCACCAGAGACCGGTCCCTCGGCAAAGCGCACAAAGACAGCTCGCGCAGCGCCCCTCGCAGAGCGTATGCGTCCACGAACCCTAGACGAAGTCTGCGGCCAGGACCTCGTCGGCCCGCACGGCGTGCTGCGCAGCCTCATCGAGTCGGACCGGGTCCCCTCCATGATTCTTTGGGGAGGCTCGGGAACGGGCAAGACGACGATTGCGCGGTGTATTGCGCACAGCGTCGGCTCGCGTTTCATCGAGATGAATGCTACATCGTCCGGCGTGGCCGAGTGCAAGAAGCTGTTTGTGGAGGCGGCCAACGAGGGTGCTCTTACGGGCCGCAAGACTATTATTTTCTGCGACGAGATCCATCGCTTTTCCAAGTCGCAGCAGGACGTCTTTCTGAAGCCCGTTGAGGCGGGTACGATTACACTTATTGGCGCCACGACGGAGAACCCTTCTTTTAGAGTTCAGGGCGCGCTGCTCTCGCGGTGTAGGACGTTTACATTGTCTAAGCTCTCGAGCGAAGACGTGGCGAGAATCCTGCTCCGCGCCATTGACGAAGAGGCGCGAACGAATAACTTCCCCGGTAGCCCGCTCGTCGATGCGGAGCTGGTGACGTACCTGGCCGCCTTCTCGGACGGTGACGCCCGCACAGCGCTGAACCTTCTTGAGCTTGCGCTTTCCCTCTCTACGCGCGCGGGTACGACGAAGGAGAGTATCAAGGCCTCCCTGACCAAGACCCTTGTATATGATCGCGCAGGCGACCAGCACTACGATACCATCTCCGCCTTCCACAAAGCCGTTCGCGGATCAGACGCCGACGCGGCGCTGTATTACCTCGCGCGCATGCTCCAGTCCGGTGAGGATCCCCTGTTCGTAGCACGACGGATGGTCGTCATCGCCTCTGAAGACGTCGGCCTGGCAGATAACACTCTCCTCCCGCTCGCGACGGCGGCGTACACCGCCGCGCAGCAGATCGGTATGCCCGAGGCTAGGATTCCACTCGCGCACTGCGCCGTAGCGCTGAGTCTCGCGCCGAAAAGCACGAGGGCGTATAGGGGTCTGAATAATGCCTACGCGGCGCTCAAGGAGCCTGGTGCGGCAGCGTTGCCTGTGCCGTTGCACTTGAGGAACGCGCCGACGAGGTTGATGAGGGAGATGGGGTACGGTGCGGAGTATAAGTACCCGCCGAATTATCGGGAGGGCAGGGTGAGGCAGGAGTATTTGCCTGATGAGCTTGTTGGGAGGCGGTTTTTGGAGGAGAGGGATTTGGGGACGGAGGTGGATCCGGATTTGGAGATGGAGGTTGAGTCTTGAGTCCTAAGTTTTGAGTCTCGACTTTTGAGTCTTGATGTCTTGAGATACATTCTGGGTGGGAGATGACCGACCTTGTGGAAAGGGGTCGGTGGTTGATTTGAGCGTAGCATTATACCTTCTTACTTAGGGGTATACGGCGTCGTCTTGGATGGCTCCGGTCTTTGGGATAGAAGCTCGCCGGACCTAAGACGAACAGAGAACACTGCGTAGAGCGCATGGCATGGCATGGCGTCTAGGATAGGCATCACATCTCGTGCGCAGGCATGATGATGGAAAATACATGTAATAATACGTGTACTCGAACACGCTCTCAGGCTGTGAACGCGGGGAGCATTGCGTTGACAGGTAACATCCATCTGAGAATCGAGACTTGTTCATACACGCCACGATGTCTGACAAGCAACAGCCCAGTAGCTCGCACTCAGTACACAATCTCAGACTGGTCATGGTGGTGTGTGTTATGGAGCCCGGTCCGATGCATATGGAGTCTCAGGAAGCTGACCATGTCATCAACACCTTGCGGCTCGTTAACCCAGTGACCTCCAGATTGATACTCATGCCATTCCACTGTACATGAATTCACGAACGAATCAAGCGTTGTCCGCAGCTGCCGACCAAGGTTGATGTCAACGACTTCATCGTCCACAGCGTGAGCGAGGAAAATAGGAGTCTTGGCCGTTGAATCTGTCCCGCTCGCTCTGC